ATTCTGCTGAGATTGCCAACAAGAGGCCAGTGAGTGCCAGCTGTGGTGTGCTTTGGGGTGTGAGATGGACACCTGGGCTGTGACCCACAAACCCATGGTCACCCAAACTATCCAACAGCCACCCGCTGGTGATGAGAGAAAGGGGAGGTTCGTCCCGTGGGAAATGCCCAGAGTTTGGAATTCATTTCTGCTGTGGAACATTAAGTTGAAACATTGGGAAATTTCACAGAATAAAAAATGCCAAAAATTTTCAATCTCAGCAAAATAATGGGAGGCGTCGAAGCCCCATTTTTCATTTCGAGCTGACATTTTGAAATGAAAAATGTTGCTTGGTTTCAAACGTTGGCTTGAAATGACATTTTCATTTTGATTCTCCTGATCGGAAAATGGGGGTGAAATTCATTAACATTGACATTTCCCTATGGAAAATACTTTACTTTGATGAAACCATGTTTTCCAATGGGAAGACTTTGAGTGTGAAAAATTTCATCCATCTCTAGTAACAACTGTCATCACTGCTGACCAAAACTGGGTTGGTACTGGAGAGGTGGAGGTAGAAGTCTCCATACCCCACCCTCTGAGTCAGCCAGCTCCCCCTTCTTTCCCCTCCTGGGTTTCCTGCCCAGACACACATGTGGCTGTACAGAACCAAGCACACCCTGAAACGTAACATGAATCTCAAGAATATGGGAAGTATTTTGGGCTTCTTGTGCTGAGATCCAGCCAGAAAAGTTTGGACACCTATGTCCTTTAGCGACTCAGTATTTTGGCAGTTCTTTAATTTGGAAAGGTAGAAAAGGGAGAGATGTTTTCTTATGCTGTGGAATGTCCAGAGAGCTGGTCCGAGGTCTTTGCTGGGTACAGGGTGAATTCAACTTCTCATTGGATAGGAAATTGGAAGTTAGACTGTGTGTGTGTGTGTGTGTACGCGCGCACCTGCACCCTCGCTCACATAAATTCAGTGACATTGTTAGCCTGACAAATGCACGTTGCCAAAGTGTAAAAAAGCGCCAATCCGCCCAAGTCTCTGAGACAGGAAGGTCTGATCCACCCAGGTAGGGCTGCATGCTGGAGAGGGAGAATGAGTCTGTGGACATTCTATTCTAATCTAGCCATCACAACTGCCCTGAAGGCATCTCTTTACAGATAGGCTCTTCTTGTTCTCTGCTCAGGCAGTGCTTTGCTGCTGCTCAAAGGTGGGTGAGAGGCGGCCTGTGGCCAGTCACTAATACAGAGCATGTGTCAAAGAAACAGGTTCCCAGTAGTGACCTCTGCAAGGGCATCTTGGCTCCCAGGGGCATTGTGAACGTAGGAGCAAAGCTGTCCGGTGTTGTCCGATAGCACTTCCCCGCTTTGTACCTTGAGCAACAGCTGGGGGAGGATCTTCTAGGTTCCCTGTGTTTTTTAACCCTTTCCTTTTCGCACTTGCAAACCTCACCCTCCCTCTAACCCTACCTCATTGGAGGCTGGATGTGCTCTGTCTGGAGCCTGGCAGCACCAGGTGGTGGCTTGGGGAGGTGAGGGGTATCAGTCTAGAGGGATGGTGCCTCAGGCTGTTCATACGGAGGGGATATCGGAGGTAATTTAATCTAAGGGAGCTGTCTGCTGTGCCGTGAAGGCTGTAGGGCATGCTCCCCGTTTGTATTAACCTGCACTGAGCCCAGAGGCACTGTCACCCGCACATGAACAGTATGTGCCATGCACAGCCAGGTAGCTATGTAGAATTACATGAGGAAAACCATGCCCAGATAATAGCAAGGGGGTGACACACAGCAGGGCAATTCAGAGTTCCCAACTAGTAGAAATAAAAGCAGAAGAAGATGGCTGATAAATAGAGTTGGAGGCCTGGGGAGACTTCCCTGTAAGGAGAAATTAAAAAGGCGGAGTTTAGACAGGAGACAATAAGAGAGGATGCAATGGCAGAGAGAAGGGAAATCAGGCTCCTCTTTATTGTCATTTATTATTTGTGTTACCGTAGTGCTTAGATAGGGCAACAAGACAGTCAGTGAACTAGCAAGGCAGCCAATTGAAAACTGACAAAAGGAAATCCTTTTTGACACAATACATATTTGATCTGTGGAACTCATTGCCACAAGGTATCTTTGAGGCAGGGCCAGCTCCAGGCACCAGCCGACCAAACACGTGTTTGGGGCGGCACCTTGGGGCAGGGCGGCGCTTGATTTTTTAGGCTTGCGCGGCGCTCGGAGTGGAGGGGCTTCGGGCGGCACTCGGAGGGGGGGCGGGGCTTTGGGCGGCGTGATGCTCGGATGGGGGGCGGGGGCTTCAGGCGGCGCGGTGCTCGGGGTGGCAAAAAAGTTAGAGCTGGCCCTGCTTTGAGGACAAAAGCTCAGCAGGAATAAGAAAAGATGAGACGTGCCTGTTGACAGATAAATCACCCTCGCTTATGTTAGATACAGTTTTGTTTAGAAGGACTATAACCTTCATGCTTTCTGGCGTATGCCAACCACTGACTGATGGGGTTTGGAAGACACTTGCCAATAGAATCATAGAAGATTCTGCTGCCCTCCTTCCTTTTATTAGGATCCTGAACTCGACCATCTCATGGTCATTGCTGCCCAGGTTGCCACCCACTTCTACTTCCCCAACCAATTCTTCCCTGTTTGTGAGCAGCAGGTCAAGAGGAGCACCAGGAAGTTGTCCCCAACACTCTCCAAAAACTTCCTGGATTATCTGTGTACTGCTGTATTGCTCTCCCAGCAGATGTCAGGCTGATTGAAGTCCCCCATGAGAACCAGGGCCTGTGATTTGGAAACGTCTGTTAGTTGTCCGAAGAAAGCTTGTCTACCTCATCCTCCTGGTCTGGTGGCCTACAGCAGACGCCCACCATGACATCACCCTTGTTGCTCTCTCCTCTAAACTTAACCCAAAGACTCTCAACAGGCTTTTCTCCAGTTTCATACTACAGCTCTGTGCAATCTTTCTGCTCCCTTACATACAGTGCAACTCCTCCACCTTTTCTCCCCCACCTGTCCTTCCTGAACAGTTTATACCCATCCATGACAGTGCTCCAATCATGTGAGTTATCCCACCAAGTCTCTGTTATTCCAATCACATCATAATTCCTTGACTGTGCCGGGACTTCCAATTCTTCCTGCTTGTTTCCCAGGCTTCCTACATTCGTATACAGGCACCTAAGATAACTAGCCGATTGCTCTACTTTTTCAGTATGAATCAGGCGGCCTCCTCTGTTGCATCCTCTTCCTTGTGTTTCCTCCCGGTATCCCACTTCCCCACTTACCTCAGGGCTTTGGTCACCATCCCCTTGCAAACCTAGTTGAAAGCCCTTCTCACTAGGTTAGCAAGCCTGCCTGTGAAAATGCTCTTCCCTCTCTTAGTTAGGTGGATCTCATCTCTCCCTAGCAATCCTTCTTCCTGGAACAACATCCCATGGTCGAAGAATCCAAAGCCCTCTCTCTGACACCACCTGCATAACCATGCATTTACCTCCACAATTTGATGGTCCCTACCTGGGCCTTTTTCTTCAACAGGGAGGATGGATGAGAACACGACTTGCGCCTCAAACTCCTTTATCCTTCTTCCCAGAGCCACGTAGTCTGCAGTGACCTGCTCAAGGTCATTCTTGGCAGTATCATTGGTGCCCACGTGGAGAAGTAGGAAGGAGTAGTGGTCCGAGGGCTTGATCAGCAGACATTCTGTCACATCCTGAATTCTAGCTCCAGGCAAGCAGCACGCTTCTCGAGTTTCCCGGTCTGGACAGCAGATGGATGACTCCTTCCCCCTTAGGAGGGAGTCCCCGACCACCACCACTTGTCTCCTTCTCTTGGGGGTGGTGGTCATGGAACCCCCATCCCTAGGACAATGCATCCCATGCCTTCCAGTCAATGGGGTCTCCTTCTGATCCCTTCTCTCAGATGACTCTTCCAAACCATTATCTGTCGTAGTACCTGTGCAGAGAGCCTGAAAACAATTTCTTACCTCTATCTGCATTGGGGGTACATGGGTTCTTCTCTTTCTTCTTCTGGAGGTCACAGGCTGACAATTTTCTTCCCCGTTCTGCACTGCCCCCTCTGATTCTTCAGCATGCTGTGCCTGCAGTACCAAACGCTAACATCAATCCGGAAAGTCTTCCTTTTCTCTGATGCAACGCAAGGTTGATACTTGGGTCTCTAGTCCTTTAACCTTCTCCTCCAATATGGAGACCAGCTTGCAGTTCCTACAGACGAAGTCGCTTCTATCTGCTGGGAGAAAGACAAACATGGCACATCCTGTGCAGGTCACAACAGCTGATTGCTCACTATCCATGTCTTCCTTCTAAGAGCCTCTTCAGATGTTGTATTTTCTGCTCACAGAAGCCTGAAAGGCAAAAAAAACCCTCTGTGGGAACTCCCATCAAGCGAACTCCCAGGCAAACTCCCTCTGTTTGCCTGTCCTCTGTTCGCCACAGGTTATTCCAGAATTGTTCACTAGGGGGGTTCTTTCCCCTTCCTCTGGAGTACCCAGTACTGGCCACTGCTAGAGACAGGGTGCAAGCTACCCTGTTTCCCCGAAAATAAGACAGTGTCTTATATTAATTTTTGCTCCCAAAGATGCGCTAGGTCTTATTTTCAGGGGATGTCTTATTTTTCAATGAAGAAGAATACGGTACACATTTTTTTGCCTTATTATCGGGGAGGTCTTATTATCGGGGGGATGCCTTATATTACAACGAGAGGCAAAACTGTAAGTAGGCCTTATTTTCGGAGGATGTCTTATTTTCGGGGAAACAGGGTAGATGGGCAACTGGCTATACCTGGTATGACAATTCCTATATTCCTTGATCCCCCACTGCCGTGCCTCTGCCATGCAGCGTGCCTGGTAGTGCCCATGAAGTCAGATGTGCTTCTCTGAGCTCTCTGCATTGCTAAGGCACAGGACGGGAAGGAGAGTAAGTCCAGGACACTAACAAGGTGCAGTCCCCCTTCTTCTCCAGCATGTCTGCTCCCCAAGTCTGACTCAGGGTGGTTGTTTTGTCCCCTCAGGTCCAGGCGAATGTGGAGAAGTCCTTGAGCCTCTTTGGGCAGCTCTTGAACAAGAAGCATTTCTTGCTGACCTTCATCCGCACCTTGGAGGCGCAACGCAGCTTCTCCATGCGGGACCGGGGCAACGTGGCTTCCCTGATCATGACAGCGCTGCAGGGGGAGATGGAGTATGCCACAGGCGTGCTGAAGCAGCTCCTCTCAGACCTGATCGAGAAGAACCTGGAGAGTAAGAACCATCCCAAGCTGCTCTTGCGGAGGTGAGTGTCTGTCTAAAATACATGCTTCGCATGGACTCCGATGGAGCCCCCTCACCCCATGCTACCGGTACAAAAAGTGCACCATGATCTTCATCGCTGGTGTACGAAGCTCCATGAAAGTCCCACCGTGTCTGTGTCTCTGGTGATGATTCCTGCTCACCCGGCACAGACACCTCAGCAAGGGAGCAGCATCAGTGCTGATGCCGTTGGCCATGGTGATGTATCAGAGCATCTTGCTCTGCAGTGTGAAAGCAGAGGTGTTCTGTCCGCTGCTCTAGCCTGTGGTTCTGTGGTTCCTTGTGGTCAAACTCCGGAGAGCACAGCCGTTTGGCACGTGAGCCGCTGCTCCGCTCCCGCCTCGTCCCTGTGTATGCCTGTGCATGTATTGCAAGTGTGCTGTGCCCCCCTTTTGTGATGTGATCAGGTGTCTTCTCCATCAGCTGAGTTGGTGGCAGTGGTGGCAGCATCCAATGGATACGACCCTTGGTAAAGCATTTCCTTGGTTGTGTGAGAGATTCGCTCAGAAAGATTTCCCTGCGCGAGATGGGCGTGGGACCTCGGGAAAAGCTCCCGAGCTTCAGATAGTCGGGTGCTCAGAAGCCATGCTTTATTTCAATGCTTAGAGAACGCTGCAGGTTTGTTTTTAAGTCAGGGATTTAGACGCTATTTGGGAGCAGTTGCTTTCTGCAGTTCTTTGATGTCAGATCGAACCCTTCAGTGCTGGAGATGGAGCGTTCTCAGCGTACCAGGCTGTTCCTTGGAAGCGAAACCCTCAATTTCTTCCACTCCCTTGACAGCGTGTTTTTCCCTGCTGGGTCCCTAGTGCGGTAATTCACACTTCCCTATGAGACCTTGGCCTGTGGATTTCCTCCTCACCCCATCCTGGCTCTGGCTGCTTTGAGGCGTAGGGAGAGGCCCCTCCTTCTGTGCTGCCTTTGCAGGCTTCCAAATTGGCCAATATCAGGTGTCCAGCACCTGTGGGTTCCTAAGCTCGAGGTTAGTCAGGATTCCCTCCAGGTCTGCCATTGGACGGCTGCTATGTTGTATCGGTCGTGGCGCAGGGCCCCTGCCACATGTACGTTAGACGGCAGGCTGGAGTGGCAGGAGCCACTGTAACTTGTTGGTTCCCACCCAGTTTTTCAGCAGCGTGCTGTGCCCCCCATCTGTGGCTGTGTGAGCTATCTGTGACCCTGACTGCCCCGGGTGCAGCCGCGAGCCCGGCGGGGATGTGTGTGCTTTCCTATCTGCCTTCCCTTCAGGAGGCTGGGGGACATTTCTTCCTTGTCCCGGCTGGAGTCTCGGTGCTGACTGTCCGTCAGCTGAGGTGACTGAACTAGGCAGGACTCGACTGGAAGCCTGTTATTGCTGCTGCTTTTGGAAATGGAGGGGAGTCACTGTTGAGTGAGGAATGGAGCTTCCTCCCCTGCCAGAGCCCGAGCCCTCTGTCTCCAGGAAGCTCCCAGTGCCTGGCTAGCTTGAGAGAGGGAAAACACATCCATGCTTTCCCCAGTGCTAACTCTGGGGCTTCTCATTTGACTTATGTGCGAAGATGTCGAATGAGTGGGGGAGGTGTTGGCATCGTGCACTAAAGGCAAATTGATCCATGGCTAACAGCTGCTTGGACAACGGGAACAGCGCATCATTGGGGATGCTATGTAGAGTTGGAGACCTATGGTGAGCTAGCACAGGCTGCTGCTACCACTGCAGTGATGCTCCCAGCTGCATCCTGCCGGCGTTCCAGCGCCCCCTCCGGCACCCTGCCCTTCCCGCCGGCGTTCCAGCGCCCCCTCCGGCACCCTGCCCTTCCCGCCGGCGTTCCAGCGCCCCCTTCGGCACCCTGCCATTCCC